TCCTTCACTACGAAGACCTGCTATTCACCAACAGGGAATGCTTCACGAAACGTAGCCAGTTCTTCACGACGATATTCTCGGTCGAGGAGTACACAAGAAGTGATGCAAGGATTCGATTTCCTTCACAAAATCAGATTTGAACCGGAAATCTCCCTCCAGGATATAGATAGAGAACTATATATCTACTCTAGTCCAACTCACAAAATGGCATAAATAAAAAACGATGTTCTAGAATATTTTCCACTGCCATATTTCATATCCGGTCAATGAACGAACTTAACTCAGAAATTCCACAATTAAAATGAACGAATTGCACACTGCGATCCACATAAAAAATAAACGATTTAACTACGAAATTTTATCTGATAATTATAAAATTTCATTAACCAAAACAAAGGATAAATAAATCCAAAAACTTCTGATTTGATATGACAGTGACAAGTGACGGACTGGACTGGTGATATCAAAGATAAAGAGTGGTCGACAAACATGACCGCATCCAGTGACAATATTGTGTAGCTGTAGTTGTATAATATCGCGGTGTATATGGGGTTGCATAATCGTAAAATTTAAATAAAATAATATTTAACAATAAAATTATAGTAAACATGATGCAAAAATAATAGTTATTTGCGATAATTTATGAGCCAGCACACAGAGGTCGTAGCGAGGATATTTGACTGTTACAACAGCAGAGCTACCATCTGAATCTCTAGCGGGAAATTTAAATTCCGGTTAGTCAGCCCGGCGCCGAATATGTCCATGGTTGGCAACAATGAATTTAAAAATTGCGCCCTCGATTACGTAACTAAAGGTTTAATTGTTATCAAATATATTTGAAACACACTAATTTATTCCACTAATTTCGAAGGCTTTAAAAATAGTCTAATAATTGTGTCATTGTCATTGAGTTATTGTTGTTTTAAAAAGACACCCTGTATATAGGTTTTATATTCGTGTAAACTCGAGCAAAATCGATGTATTTGCTCTAGAAAATGTAATAATATTTGGCATATCGTATGTCACAGAGTATTGTGTTTGTTCAACTGAAGTAAAACAGAGACTAATAATTTGCAAGCATAGAATTTAGCACTTTGAAATATTATATATGTAAGGTTTATTTCAAAACATACACAATGAAAATAAAAAAATAATCTACATTAACTGAAAATTGGTCTTTAAAAAACATATTTATTTACAATAACGAATTGAAATAAATTAGTTAAATATTTCAATATTCAATCAAGGTTCATTGGTTCGAAAATATAATTAGAAATTATAATTTATTCAATAATCGTACTACAACGATATGTATTCTGCTCATATTAAAATTAAGCAGCCCTCCCATGCAAATTGCTATAATTTATGTTGAATTTGTTAATTGTTACGGATTGCGTTTTGCAAACTACAGATATTTGTGTTAAATATTCTTCTAGATTTTTGAGTCAATATTTTTTAATTTTCTTTCGTGTCGATTGCTGATTGAATTCGAGCTAGAAATGGCTCAAAACGAAACGAGTAAATTACCAACAGATATTCAGGCTGAGACGACAAACGCCATATCCAAACTACTTTCATTTAAATCCCGAATAACTTATGAAAAGGAATACAAAAATTTTTAAAAATCGAAGCAATTAAACAACGTGCGAGAAGAAATAAAATTTTTAACCTATCCTCGCTGTTAAAGTATCATTTAATCTACCCTTGCGGTTAAAGTACTATTTTTGATAGATATAAGGCAATTTTAACAGTTGCCATGGAAAAAAATAAAAAAAGATTTTGAGGCTTGATCTATAAATTATATCTTTCTCCTACCCTCTGATAAACCCTTCGAGTTTCTTAGAAACTCAATTAGAAAAGTTTTCAAAAGAAATAAAGTTAGTGAATGTTATAACAATTTATAAATTTATAGCAGCAGAAACAAAGGAATAAATAAATAAAATTATGTAGGGAAAGAATGCCATATACAATAAAGTTTTTTTCATTTAATATTGTTGTTAACTATTTGTAAAGTGTTTCTTTTTTATTGTTGTACCTTACCACAAAAACACTACTTTAAAACTATTAACTACTAACTATTATTTACGTAGGAAGTAGAGTTCGATACTCTTCGGCTTCGAGTTTGAGACGACCCGTGTGTGTACGGTCTTATTCTACCTTGAAAATTAAAAAAAAAATTAAATTTTGAGAACCACTTTCCTTCGAGAGTCTTTTTTGGGTTTTCTGTCTTGTTAATTTAATCTACTACACCTAATGTGGCCATATTATCAAAATATTCTGTTTTTTAACTAAAAATTAGGGAAATTAAATTTTCAATTTTTTTTGCGAAAAACACCTCATAGTTTCTGGCGTCGAAATATACTACCCTTAAAAATATTTGCACTTATTTAAGACTCACCCTGTATAATCCATATTATACTTTTTTCAACTATTCTATTTCTATTTAACAGTAAAGATACCTATTTATTGATTTACTGTAAACGCTAAAAATAAAAATAAAAACATCGTTCAAGTTTCCAAACGTACAACTTTAAATTCACCTGCCGTTTCTTAGTTTTTCTTTCTTTTATTTTGTTCAACTTTACGCCAGCAAACTACTTTACAGCATGTTACCCTTTTGATATACAGTGGCGCTTTCTGAAGTGTAATGGTGGGATAAGATCCATAAAACACATAAGTTCGTAAGAGAAAGCTTTAAACTTAAGTTTGACGCTTTTGAAGTTTACTGCCGTTATTTGTTTTAATTGAAAATTTAAGCCGTTATGTAGTAAATTTACTGTGTGCATTTATTGTTTATATATTTTGAAAAGTTTTGTTACAGCCAAAAAACTTATTACTTAAATATGATTATTAAGTTCTATTAATTCATATTATTAAAACATCTAAAATACAAATATGTATTTTTAAAATTAATTATAAGTTCATCTTATCTCTCTTAAAAATTGCTACTTCCCAAAATTTCGCATTAAAAAAATGCAATCTAACCTAACCATAATATACCATATAAAATTAAATAATTGAAAGTTCCCATCGCTAATATTCGGCATTTATTTGATAGGAACAATACAGGGTGGTCCGAACTGTATTCCGGAAATTCGGCAGCATATTCTGCAGATAAAAATAAGTAAAAAAGTTCGTGTAACTGTATGTCCTAAAATGCTTTGTTGATACAGGGTGTAGAAATTTCAGGTACGGACGAAAAGTTATTACTCTTCAAAACAGTGGAAACATATGTAGGTGGCGCCCCCTACAAATAAGAGTCATATTGACATTAAAATCAAATTCCTCATGTCAAAAAAACTCCCACACACCAATTTTCATCCAAATATTGACGTTACTTCATAAATTATTTGGAAAAAATCGAAATAAAAATGAATCTTCTACACCCTGTATCTCCGAAACTAAGCATTTTAGCACATATATTTATAGCAACTTTTTTACTTATTTTTATCTGCAAAATATGCTGCCGAAGTTTCCGGAATATAGTTCGGACCTCCCTGTATATTGTTACGTATAGTATTACGAACTATATTTAAATATGTTACACGCATAGTTGTAGGCCCTCTATCCTATCATCTCTTCCAACTTTGTAACTAGATTTCCTATTGTCTACGATGTTAAACTACGAAAATGCAATTGGATATCTAAAAATAGTATTGTCACTTGCCGTTTCTGATAATATTACAATTCATGCGTCTGACATATCAATACATCCTTGTCGAAGTGGAGGTTAATATTTGAAATACAATAAATAACACTACGTCAACATATTAGCATATATATATAATTATGTATGCTAAAATGAACTAAAATATATTCAATTTATAGGTAATATCAAGCAACTTTGGTTTTCTATAATTAAACGTGACAACATCGACTTTTTTTGCCCGAATTCCTTCCGCTGTTTTAGATTCGTTTGTCAGATAATAGATTATCTACCTTAAGAATCCCACTATTATTTTAAATAAAAATACCATCATAACTTATTGATATACGATACGCATATTATTTTTAAACTAAAAACCATATTGCAATCTTGCCATATATTACAAAGTCAACGAAAACGCAAAGTTTTAATAAAAAAAGAAAACAAAACAAACAAAAAAACATATTTAACTCAATTTAGAGCTAGCAAATTGACCTCAACCTGAAACTGCTTGTATTCTGCGAACGAATATTTACCTTTTTTTATTTATTTTGCCTGTACGATTACGTGTTCTTTCATTCTTCTATTTTGTCAGAGGAAAAAACTTGAATCTTTGCCAAAAGGCACGAGATAAATGTATCATATACAAACAGAATGTCGAACACCTTTCCTTTGTTCTTTCGGTTTTTTGATCGAATTTTAATACTCATCTTTTTGTTGTTTTTCGGAGGAATGTATAAAGAAAAAGTACTGAAATATTCAGGTTTCTGTTTTATTTTTGTTTATGTTACATATTAAATTATAGAGATACGTGGAATATTATATTTTATAGGCATTTTTTTTCGTTGGAATGTATTAAAAGAGATACTGTGTATTTTCTTTTATAATAATTTCTAGTATATTCAAAGTCACATCACGTCTTTACGTAGAGTGCTCAATTGAGTATATTACGAGGCAGATACAGTGTGCTCAGATAACTACCCTATTTGCAATATTTTATTGATTTTCTTCTTACTACAAATTTTAAAATTCTTTTTAGCGTAATTTAAAACATTTTTTGTCTCTCTACATTTTGTTACTTCAGTATGTGAAAGTGAGTTCTGATTCATAAATTATGTAACCCTTTATAGATTGATGGTCGCAAAACAAACTTATTGCCTATGTGATAGTCAGGCAATACAGGTTTTTTTGAGCATCAATTCACTTGACTGCTTGACTCGTGTAAACGTATTTTCGTGTAAGCGCCGTTGCCAAGAAGAAGAAATATTCCTCAATTTGCGTAATTTTTCCAAGAATAACCATTCTGTCTTTTCTCTTTGCAGATAGCAATTTCGTACTGGGCAATGCTCAAGTTCCAACCCTGTATCCCATCGTTTACTGCTCCGATGGGTTCTGCGAGCTGACCGGGTTTGCCAGGGCGCAAATAATGCAGAAGGGGTGCGCCTGCAAGTTCCTTTACGGTCCAGAGACCAAAGAAGAGCACAAGTCGCAAATCGACAAGGCCCTGGAATCGAAAAACGAACTGAAACTCGAAGTTATATTTTATAAGAAGAACGGTAAGCCTAGAAAGATGATTATTTCTTAATATTAGTAGGATATTGTGCAATATACAGTGTATTTATATACAGGGTCCGGCAATAGTGCATTGGGCATAGAATAGATAGTTCCTGGAATAAAAAAAACTTAGTTAACTAAATTTTATTTAAGTACATACAGCCATTACTCGCTGACGAGTATTTGACACGCATCAGAAGATGGCCACGCAAGTTGCTTTCTTTCATGAGCTTATGAGCTATGCAAAGAACTTGAAATAATATCAATGAAATTCAAATACATATACAGGGTTGTTCACCACATACGACACGGAGTATTGTAGCTAAACGATTAGATTTTTACCAATTGTAAGTTTTGGGTTCGTTGAAGAACTATTAGAGCTACAATTTAAAAATATTTTACAAGATACAGAGTGTCCCAAATAAGTAAAAAATATCATAGTTGTATTTTTTTAAATGGAACACCCTGTATATTATTCTATTTTTGGATTCTACGATTGAAATAAAGGTAAATTTGATTAAGGTTTATCACACTTAAACCTTACCGTTTTTGAAATATTTTCAATTTTAAGAAATTGCAGTAAAAATTTTAATGTTTCATTTCTCCAAGGGTATCAAAGTTTTTAATACTAAATATTTACTGAAGATTATTTATTGATCAGATATTGTGTTGCAATAATAAAAATTTTACTACCTTATACAGAGTGTCCAAAAATTTATATTAAATAATTACTAGCTTTAAACGGCAATAACGTGTTTAAGTTAAATGGAACACCCTGTATATTTTACGTGAATCATATGCACAATTTAATTGTCTATCAAATTTTATTATACCATTTTTACCTATCTCTGCAACTTTTCGTAGAAAATGTATTTTCTTATAATTTAGACCTCATTTATCACTATACCCATGGAATATTGACATTTCAGATTTTTTTTTAAGCAACATATATGCAGAAAATGTACAGGTGGTAAATATTGCAAGCCTATTGGTATACCAAAAAAACTATTTAAATCTTTATAAAAGAGTATACGAATTAAATATACCACCATTATTTCCGACCAAAAATTAGTTAATTACATACTTTTAAATTGTTTTAATTAATAAAGTATTCTAAATAAATGTGGATTTGGCTCAGAAATCAATATAATAATAAATTATGAAAATAAACGTCTCTGTTTTTATAAATCAGCATTCGTCAAAAAATGAAATAAAATTTATAAGGCGTTACTTTTTACCACACTGTCTAATACACACACAAAATTCAGTTTTTTATTATTGGAGCAATTATTATTAATCAACATAAACAGTCAATTAATGTAGTCTGAATACTGGGATCATATTAATTGGTCCTTTTTAACAAAAATATTTAAACAGTTTTTTATTTTTTTTATGAAATAAGCGAGCTATATCGACAATATCAGTATCTGTACTCTTGGAAAATTTGTTACATCTTTAAAAATAATCTAAAATGTCAATATTCCATGGGTATATTGATGAATCATCAAGACAGATGCTTGACGCACTTTTGCCGGACCCTGTAAATTAATAATTTTCCTTCGAATCGTATATTATTTTTTTTGTTCGCTTACTTATTATTTAAGTGAAAATATATTCCTTTTGTTTTTACAGTATGCATGTTACAGTATCAAATATAAATTAATATAAAAGAATTGAGAGACTCGTGTATGTTGCAGAGTTTATTCCCTAAACCCGTGTATTCATTATCTTTCTAAAGTAACATTTAAAACAATTAATAAAACTTTACAAAGGCAGAACAGAAACGAATGTAAAATGACTCGCGTATATTCAGTTCGCATCGAAGCTACAGATAAATGGAACACAGGAGAAAAAAGGTTTTCTTTTATGTTTTGTGCTAATGAAAACGTGCGTAAAATGTAATTTTCACGTACAAAACCGTTTAAATCTCCACAAAAAAAAGTGCGCAGTATGTTTTTGTTTATAGAAATTATGTTATATTAATTGAAAATCTTTGTTTCTTTAGTTAAAAACTTTTTAGCAGAAAATTTATTAATTTGTTTTGTCGCGCCTCAGATCGCCTCGGCGAGTGACTTCCAGCATGACAAATGAACAAATTTACGTAACGGACAAAAAATGCTTAACGTTTCGGAAAGTTTATCTCTTTCCGTCGTCGGAAGCAAAAAAATACGAAGAATAAATAAAAAAAAACTATTTAAAATATTTTTTTTATTAACACTTTTTTTTAAACAGATACGTCTACAAAAACCGTTGACGTTTTGTTAAATTGACGTTATATCGATTTAAACTTATAAATTAACAATTAACTACCTGATAACAATTACTTAATAAGGCAAAAACCAAAAAGCTTCAAACTTTCTGTATGATTATTTTTAATTCGTTTTTAATTTTTACGTATGTTATATTTACTTATGTATTTAGTTCGTTAATGTTGTTCATTGTTTGTTGGTTAAGGTTTGCCAATAATAATTGTATAAAATGATATTTTAGTTATTAAATTTAGTTCGTAAAAATCTCTTTTTATTCTGTTATTTAAAAAATAATCACTTCCTTCGAAAAAGAAATATAAAGAATTAAAAAGTTATAATTTAATAACAAAGGAAAGGGCGTTATTGAATAAGATATTAAATTTAATTCCTTCGCTGGATAAGATTATTTTACGACTGATAGAAATGAAATTCAGGGAACGACTAAAAGAATAAAAATTGAAAGAATACTGAAGAATTTGAACAAAGCTTGTGAGTCTTTTGTAACTTTTCAATAAGAAAATCTAATAACAAAGCTTGCTATCATAAATTTTTTATTTGTACTTTTAAAAATACTTTTCAGGTAAAGTATAATACTGTAGAAATGTCACTTAAGAAATGTTAAGAAATGAGAACTTGGTTTTTTAGAGTATACTCTAGAAAATTAAAATATACAGGGTGTTTCAGAAAAACATGTGCCATCTCTAGTGGGGAGATTCCTCACGTAAAAATAAGATTTATTTTTCATATCAACATAGGTCCGATTCTGCTTTCTATGAATCTATGAATCTATGAATCTATGAATTATTCTATGAATCTTTCAATGAACCTATCTTGATTCTAAAAATACGTAGTAGTTCCTAATTACAGAATTAAAACGTATAATAATGTGACAAAAATTAGTTATACGAAATCAAATGCTCAAAATGCTCATTTTTCTGTTGAGCACATAAAATGATACTGACTGCAAAGCAGTGTTTTATTTTGTTAACAAAATAAAATCTTTTTAAGTAACATTATTCTATAGCAATCTTATTTATTACTCACAAAACACGTTTAGAGAAACAAGTTTCGTACATAACACTTTTAATGAACATCCGCTACTGGACGGAAGCAAGAAAGAAAAAAATATTTGAAAGATCGTAGTGGAAAATACCAAATGTCACAAGACCCTGGAAACGTTTTGTTCCTTTTATTTCTCCAAGTCGTTCGTTAAAAAGGAGAATTTGTTTTCCAGTTCCAGCCTTGGCCGGACATTTCTGGATGTTTGTAGGCGAGATACAAATGTGGAGGCGGCTGTAATTTCCTTTGTATAAAACGTACTTGCGACTGTAGTTTAATGTGAAAATGTGAGTAAAATCTAAGAACACTTTCCGTGTTTACAGTACGTATAAGTTTTGTTCAAAAATTAAAAAAAAATAATATCTGTAATTTTTAACATTTTTTTTTCGAATTGGAAGCAAGATCTGTGATAAATAATTTTCTTCTTTCAGTGCCTATCCTGTATGGATGTTGGCAATCATGCTGGTCCAAGCGTTTAGTGTAGCATCTGTCAAAGTCCAAGCTTCCACTCTATGAATAGTAGAATGTAGAATGTTTAGGAGGGGAATTAGTCACCGCGACCTTAAAGATCTATTGTGTGTTCCCCTTTCTTGAGTTATAACGAGTTATAACTCATCATACAGTCTCAAGGCTTTAACAAAAGCCAGTATCTGAGACGGCTCCACAGAGGGCAGCTCTCCATCCTTGACATCAGCCGTACCAAAGTTCATGGCACGGATGGTCGTCGTCTCGGCGCACTCAGTGATGAGGTGTTCTGGTGTTTCCCCATATTCCCTACAGAATCTGCATTCGCCGTTGTTTCTCAGCTTCAGCCTACTGAGGTGTTCGTTGAGGAGACAGTTTCCTGTTAGAAACCTCGTGACAATCCGAAGATTGTTTTTACTTAAATCAAGGAAAACCTTTGATTTTTCTCGGTCGTAGGTTCTGAGGAACTTTTTCGAGTGTCTTAGACCGTTGGAGGACTGATTCTTCAGTTCCGCTTTCAGTTGGTTTCCGCTTGGAAAACAGAATGGTTCTGGTCCAGTTAGTGGAGTCTTCGCTCCTTTCCTAGCTAGATCATTTGCTTTTTCATTGCCTTCTATCCCTTGGTGAGTAGGCGCCCAGAGTAGGAGGACTTTATTTTCTTTGCCCAACTCGTTGAGCTTCTCTAGGCATTCTTTGACCAACTTCGAATTGATGGTTACTGAGTTGATCGCGTTTAGTGCTGCATGACTATCGGATAGGATGGCAATTTCCTGTTTTCGATAGTTCCTTATCTAAGATAAATTGTACACATCTTTCGATAGCGTAAATTTCTACCTGAAAGATACTGGGGAAGGTGCCCATTGGTTCGGAGTATTTGGTTTTCGCCCTAATACTCCTATCCCTGTCCCTGCTTTGGTTTTGGAAGCATCAGTATACCACGTTATGGTATGGTTTTTTATATGTTGAGTAAGCGCTTCTTTCTTCCAATCCTTTTTATTACTCAATACTACAGTGAGGTGTTTCTCAAAATTGTAAATTCTTGGTATGTCATCCACTGGGAGTTGGAGAAGTCGAATTTTCTTTTTGAGGGTGTTCCAAGCCCCTGACCTAAAAATTCTCCCAGTACTGTTTCTGTCAATGACCATTCTAATCATTGGCATAACTATTTTAATTCGCATTGGCATAACTACCGACGACAATATGCAGTGGTGTTAGGTCTAAAATGACCT